CTTTCAAACTCGTGAGGCGGGAATTCCCGCATATTTCTGGATTTTCACGTGCTAACCCGCATGCGGGAAGCGGGAATCGGAGTTTGAAAGATGTCTATTAATGTGAGAAACAAAAAAACAACCAACAACAACAATATGCAAGTTAGCAACCAACCCCTCTAGAAAATCAGAGCATACCCTTGCGCGGGGAAACACTCACCCGCCCTTGCCAGCGCCAAGTCGAAAGTGGGAGGCCACTTGNGATTTTCACGTGCTAACCCGCATGCGGGAAGCGGGAATCGGAGTTTGAAAGATGTCTATTAATGTGAGAAACAAAAAAACAACCAACAACAACAATATGCAAGTTAGCAACCAACCCCTCTAGAAAATCAGAGCATACCCTTGCGCGGGGAAACACTCACCCGCCCTTGCCAGCGCCAAGTCGAAAGTGGGAGGCCACTTGGTGCTCTTCCTAACCCTAGCCTGCTTTGCTGCTGGCGCTGCCACGACTTGGACATCGTCACCGCTCCCCCGGCCGCTTGCGCTTCTCCACCCGCTGCCTCGAGGTCGCGGGCGTGCTGCTGGCCTAGAGCCGCAAAGCCCACCCCACCGGCTGCCCGTGCCGCCTCCCTCTTGGCGACCTCGTCGCGCGCCAGATCCAGGGCCTTTGCGCTGGCCGCTGCCGCCGCGCTTGGCTCTAAATCGAAATATTTTCCTTGCTTCTGGTTCTGGCGAGACTGTCAGGAACGGTCCTCAGAACGATGTTCCTTATTTCAGCTTCTTTTTGGGTCCGAAACTGTAGCTGTTGTTTCCATTTATTTTCTTCTCTTTTTCTCTGTTTCTTCTCTTTTTCTGTGCCAGATGGCCTTGTCTCTGCTCACGTTTTGAATTACCAAGATTGAACCAAGGGGGTGTACCTCTTTCTCTCTGGCCCGTGATGGTGACTCTTAGTCTCAAGTTGTTACCTCGCATAGCGCGCAGAGGGAGTGAAGGACTCCAGAATATCTGTCGTTGATTTCTATTGACTTGCGGACCCCTCGGGGCCAGTGTATTTTGAGTTTACATTTTTAGAGTAAGTTAGCCTGCGACCACGGGAATCGACCGCGTCGAGTGTTGGATCATTGGATCAGTACGGGCATACATACGAAGGTACTGGGTAGAGAGAGAGATCAGAACGGTTTTTGATGTGAAGACAACAACAACAACAACAACAACAACAACAATGCGTGTAGAAGACATAATAATATCTTCACTTGCTTGCTGCTTAGACTAGACTACACGCTAAAGGATATACAAGTCAGTCCCTGTAGTTCTATGCGTAGACTATGCTCCCATCCAAACCGCGTTTCGCAACGGGTCCGCCCTTTGTTCTTTACTACAGCATATGCATACAACCCACGAGCGTATAGTGGATACGTACACAGTCTGCCTTCTGTACCGTACCTGCTGCCTGTGAAACGAACAACGAACAAATTCCGGCCGAGAAGCTCTGTTAACTGATTGTGTCATTTGTCAGCAAAAAACGAGGTTTCGAACCGAACCTGTAAGTACAGTTCTACAGCTAGCTACGGGTCTACCATCTACATTGCTTGGCACACGAGATAATACGTTGCTGGAATCAATGAATTTATTGCAATAATACCCGTTAGAAGAAGAAATGTCAATCAACACCGTTGTGAACAGCAAGGTGAGTGTGTTCGTGTGTTCCTCTCTACACTTACTCGAACCGCTTGCATCCATATTGGTCACATTATATAACGACGAGGAAGGGGATGCTGAACCCGTTTACAGGTAGCGATAAAACCACGCATGCAAATCAAAGCCAGTGGAAAGGAAAAAAATACTACGTGGCGTGTGTGTTAGTGCATATTGATCGTGCAACTGCTGTCAACCTCCCGCGAATACTTCGCAAATGAATGTTACCCGTCGCAGGGCAAAAAGCCTGCACTTTCGATGCATCCGCTCAGCAACAGTAGGGAGGGAAACCGTCCCTCGCTTGGTTGGATGTTCCTTCTTGGATCCTCCTCGTAGAACTCAAGAGTGGTCGTCCGCCCACGGGAACACTATTTTTAGAAAGTAAATTTTCTTGCCATTCCCGAACGTACCAAGACATTTTCGCCCACGCCGCACCGACCTCGTCAGCCACCATTGTTTTTACCGTGGGCATCCCCGAAATGGGTGGGTTCGAGCCCAGCTGCGGCAAATTGTAGATGAATAAGAAGACCACAACAAATCGCCCATGGCGCGGCGGTACGCGCTAGTATGAAGTACTCAACTTCTCTATCGTAGACTATCTAGGGACAGACGGTCTCTACACTTGCTTTCGTAGAGCTCGTACATAACGTAGATGTGGATACGTTTACACTTTGAGGATGTCCTTCTCCTTGGCGGCAACCTTCTCGTCTATGGTCTTCGTAGTCTTGTCGGTGAGCTTTTGGATCGCGTCTTGTACATCCTTAGACTGCGCTCGTTTTTCATCCCGCCGGAAGCCAGAAGAACAACCAAGGGATCGAAGGCGAGCAAGGACGGGGAGGTATGTTAACGTATACGCTTGCTTTAGTCTTGGGGATGCATTCAGTCCGCCGGACGACGAAGAAAAACGCAAAACAAAAACGAGCGTCCATGCACCAAACACTGCCGAAGGTCAACCCCAACTTCCCAATAGCATGGTACCAGTAGTCAAGCTACCTGGTCCTTGCCCAAGTTCTTGGCCTTTTCGGCCTTCTTCACCGTGTCCACAGCCTCCCGCCTGATGTTACGAATCGCAACCTGTGAACGAAAAAACAAACGAAGAAGCGCGCTCGTGAACACCTCAGAAACCACGCGGAATCAAAAACTCGTTTCCAACTCTGTCTTGACTACCTGCAGCATTCACCCTCCCACATTGGAAGCTCCAATAGCGATCGTAATCCCCGGGGGTGCAATTAAAGCCAAGCTAGCGTACGGATGAGCCTCGTCCACACAGATAAAGCGAACACGTGCTACGTGATGCGGGCAACAAAACCCTCGAAATCCAAGCCCCATGGCCATGAAGAAGAGGATTACATTTTCAAGAGTACCAGCACAGATCACAGCGGGCAACTTACATGCTGACCTACCTTCCCCCTCCTCCAAGACTCTTGCATGGCATAAAGCGGGATAGAGGTTCAAGAGTACCAGTAACTGCTGATTTCCTACCTTACCCTCTTCCCCAAGGCTCTTGGCCTCCTTCGCGAGTTCCTTTCTGCGGTCCTCCGTCACGGGCGGCATGTTCAACCGGATCACGCTGTTTCGGCGCCACGGGGAGGTACACACGGGGTGGGGTGTAGTCACGTAAACGTATGCCGTAGTCGGTATTTCAAGGACCTCGCATCCCTACAACACCAGGACGGTGTGGGGGGCGGAAGAAATACCTCGAAAAAATGAAAATCGATGGGAAATTCAATCAGCGAAATGGAGGGGCACAGCCTCTTCCTTTCGGGGGGCGAAGTTAAGGCTGTGAGGACTATGACGTGGAGAGTAAAGGAGTCCTCCTAGCATTACTAAGAGACCACCTAGCACTACTGAGAGACCACTAGACCCTGGTCGACGGGGCAAACGGAACCAAAAGCACGCAAAGGGGCCATTGAAGAGGCGTGTTGGGGTGCGCTCGTCGTCCGGAGCGAACAAAAAAATCATCAAAACATTTCAGCAACCAAGAACCAACACACCGCACCGACTGCAGACTCGTAGGGCACACAGTCGGCGTCCAAGCGAACAAAAAGAACGAACATACTTGTCACCATGCGTCTTTTCCCTTACGTGCCGTCGTTGTTCGGAGTAAGGCCCAAGTCCGCCTCTTGGATGGCGGCGGCGATGTCGGCCAGGATAGTCGGATCGTATGACTCCACCAAGAGCGCGGTGGCGCTGAGGGAAACACACCACAATAACCAACAACCAAAAACGGCACCCAGGACAAGGCGGGATAGAGAAAGGGGACGGACAGGGAGAGGGGATGGCGATAAACTGTAAAAAAACAGTCATTGAAGGATACGTCTCTCTTGGTCGGTGCGGTTCCCAGAGCCTACCGCTTCTCGATGCGGCCGACGAGTAGCGGACAACAACATGTACATGGTGACCCCAAAACAAGGAATAGCGAGACCTCAATCAGCACGTTCCAGGCGAACGAGGAGAGTCGGCGGTAGAGCATTCTCTCTCCTTCAGACGTTGTCCCGCCGTGACGTGTTGCATCGATCATTGTGGATGCTGGGCCAGCGCACGCCTGGCTTCTTTTCCTGTTACGAGGCTGCTACTTCCTAGACAATGTTACCCACAAGGCAGCAAGTAATTCTCACAAAACAAGCAATTTACCAAATTAGAAAAAAATAATCACCTGGTGGTCTTCACGGAGGCCACCTGGTTGAGCGGCGTCTCCGCCCCATAACACTCCACCACAACGCGGTCCAGTATCTTGGGGCTGAGGAAGGCAACAAGAGAGCAAGGTGAAACCACGGGCGCCAAGATCTCAAGTGATGCCAAGGGCGCCAGGAATGAGCAATTGAAACCAACGGCGCAAGGACCAAAGACCATTTTTTTTTTGTCTTCACTTAAATACAGCGCCCAGCCGACCCTTGGACCTTGTCACAGAAAATTTGATGGATAAGTCTACAATGACATCGGGAGAACTGCGGCCCCAACGGACGACAATTCGTATCACTCTTGCTACAGGCTAGGCAATCGGCCAGGCGAATGGTTATGCTGTTGAGGCTCCACATGCTAATCGATTTGATCGCCACCATCATGAAGGGAATACCTTACGCGTCCAAAACGTACATTGTACAAAAATCATCCCGCAACGTGATCAATCGTCCCGTTTCTTCCATCTTGGATAAAACGAAAATGTCTCTATTGGTCGCTCGCTCCTGAACCGTAGCTGCTGTGTTGGTTGAGGTATTGATTGCCGCGGCGCATCACTCACTTTGCCCGCCCGGTTCGGAGGGTCTCGAGGTTAAGCCGCACGCTCTCCACCGATTTGTCCATCCGTTCCTGAGCCGAAGCCAGGACCGCATCCCCGTCGAATTCGTCTGCAGCCTGTAGACAGGCGGACAGCAGTTAACCGCACGCGCAAAGAAGAAAAGAAGGAACAAACCAAGTCATCGCTCCCACTCTTATTGGATGGTCCATGATCCTGTTGTTTCTAGGCAATGACCGGTTAGAACCAGAGGGGAAAGAACACCGACATCACCATTGTGCGCAAGTGTTCGGTCGTTGCGGCCCAAGTGACATCTGTGAATGCCACAGCAGTTATGAACACACCCTCTCGAAATTTGAAACGTATGCACTGCTGTAGCAGTAGTGCACGTGTTCAGTCGTTGCGGCCCGTGTGACATCTGTGAATGCCACAGCAGTTACGAACACACACCCTTGTCGAAATTCGACACGTCATGTATGCACTGCTGTAGCAGCGGTGGGCGTAGCCGATCGATCGGTAGAACGAGAGGGGAAAGAACACCGACAGCGTCATTGTGCGCACGTGTTCGGTCGTTGCGGCCTCTGTGACATCTGTGAATGCCGTAGCAGATACGAACGGCACACCCCCTTCTCGACACTCGGAATGTACTTCTAGCAGCGGTGGGCGTAGGCGATCGATCGGGTCCGCCCATGAACGTCCCCCAAATAACCGCAACAATCGAGGTTTCCCACGGAAACTTCCAACTTTCTCGTGGGGCGGATAGGGTACCGCCAGCGTGAAACTATCCGCGTCGCGAGCGCGTTCCTTCAGGCGGAAATGATGCGAAGGTTTGTGATCACAAAAGTGCCGAGCAACCTACCGGGCGTAGCAGGGACAGCATGATGCCGCTCGTTGACCATGGTGCTTAGTCAAACACGCGCAGCAGTACAGCGTAAGGTTTACTTAGGAGTATCGTACCTCCCTATCGTTTGCGAATACTATCGTCAAAAACAAGCCGGGCAGTCGGAGCAAGGGTCAGGGTTGCCTTGCTCACCATTTTCAAGGACGACGACCATCTCAGGCGAGGAGCCGTGGATGCGCACGCCGATGCTTTGCCCGTCGTCGGTGCGCCAGCTCGCTGTTTGACGTTTAAGGATTCAGGCAGACGGCCGGAAGAGTGAATGGAAATGTCAAAGTTTGGTCCTGCTTTGTTTCATTCAGCATTCGAGATTCGTGGGAGCGGTTGCATGAGGTGGTGAACCTTCGTGCCGAGCGCGTGGTACACTCTTCTCGGCCCCTCCGCCGCCGCTGGCCTGCTTAGTTGTACAAGTAGGCAGCTCAACACGGGGTGCTGAGCCCAGCCCTCGCGAGTGCTCGCAGTCCTTCATGGTGGTTGCCCGCCAGCACAGAATCGCAACAACAGAGCAGGTTTGTGAGTCTCAACACCACCTGCCTACACCTTCTGCTGCTTCTACGTGTGCCTAAGATGCACAACGTCCCAGTGGACCCGCAAGGGCGGTGTGACACATCAACCGCGGTGAGTCGTCAACGACGATCGACGATCGATACATCCAACGCAGCACGCATGTGTATGCTAAACAAGTGCCCTCACTCCGATGGCATCATCATGATCAAAAAGACGCATACCATCAACAACGCCAAGACCTCCTAGCTCCACACTACCTTGCTACCCATACCAAACCAACCGCGCACAGCAGTAAGGAGGGAACAGCAGGAGGGCTTCCTTTTGGTGGGGCACCCTTCGTGGACAGGTGCAGCAGCATGCGGATTACAACTGCTGTCATGTTCAATTTCGCTGCTTACCTTTGCAGGCAGAGGCGGTGCGAAGACAAACCCCGACACTCCGGAACACAAGGCTACCGCCGCCGCGGAAGCCGCAGCCGTGAATACAGAAGCCCTCATGGTCTCTCTCTCTCTCTCTCTCTTTCTCTTGATGTGAGCTCTGTTGACTTGCCGTCCCTGGGGTCCCTCCGTAGGGGGCACGCGACCTTGTAATTCCCACAGGGGAGTATCTCTCTCACGCCCGCGTCGTGCCCTGTGTTGCACTTGCTTCCTGCAGGACACATTCAGTTGACACGCACCCAACAGAGGGCTCACGAAAGAGAGAACGAAGGTGAGAGACTACAGCCCCTCCTCATCTATCCTGAGACAATCTCTGGTTTCGGTCCTCCTCGTTGCTTCATCTCTCTTGATGTGGCAACTGCTGTGGCAATCGCGCCTTGCGCTCGCCTATGTGAAGTTTATCCGGGTGATTTTTTTGCCCGACGCTTGTTGGGGAGTTGCGTCAAGGGTCGAGAGAGACTTGATGAAGAGCGGTGATGATCGCTGCTGCCCCTCTGCTACGAAACTTGAATGGCTTTCTCTTCCTCCGGTTCTCACAGCGACTACTCACTTATTGTGCATGAGCTTTTGGTGCTTTGCCCATGCCGCCAAAGCGACGGTGGGAGACTGAAAATCAGCAGCAGTTCGGATAGGAGAGAGCTCCCTCTCTTTGCTCCTGGCCAACACCGCTCTCAGCCGCGCAAGTTCCTTTTAGTTCTCCTCCGTGCGTGTTAGGGCAGAAAGATTTTGATAAAGCAGACTATCTCTCGTACGAGGCACTTTGGCAGGCTTGTTCAAGTGCCACCGATCTTGTCCCCACGATTGTTTTTTCAACAGTCCCAGTTTTTCTCGCCCCCCCCCCTTGCTGCGTCCGTCGCTCGTCGACACACCCCGAAGAAATTTGCTCGGAAGTGCTGCTCTATTAGTCGGTCTAAGTGCTCCTTACAGCACTAGCAGCGCTGCAGACCCGTTGTATTGCTGCAGATCTGCAGCAGGGTCAGACCGTCCACACCGCACCGCTTGATGTCTTTTTCGTGTCTACATCCTACTTGCCGCCGACCCTACCTTACTTTCAGAGGTTTCGCCGAGCAAAGGAGTAAGTAGACGTTCTCGAATCTACTTCTTTTTTTTTTCGTGTTTCCAGGGCGGCACCCGTCTTCAAGAAATGGCCGGTCTACAGACCTTTCAGCGAACATGTTTGTCGTACACTCACGTATCCGCGAATTTATCTCCTTATTAGCGTTGTTTGGTTGACAGCTGTCGCCTTCGTTTCGAGCAGCTGTTGTGGGTTCTGCTGTAATCAACCGATCGCAGGACCGACGGGGACTCTCAGACTCGCGCACAAACGTGAGCGACGTAGTGCAACAATTGCATCCATTTTATTCGTGACGCTTGCTTGCAGAAGTTAGCAACGCTTGGAGGAGGGGAGCCTTGTGTATGTGCAAGAACTTTTTCCAGCAGGCATCCCCACGACCAACCCTACAGACTAACCATCCTGACCTTGACCACTTACTGCCGAGGTCCTCAGCGTCGTTGTGTGGAACCAACACCGCCGCGCCCACGAAGGCGGTCGATCTCATGTACGTTACTACTTCGGGACCGTTCCTGATCTATGTTCTCGCCCCATCGCTCTTCTTCGGAACGTTCCTGACCTGTCTTGTCGCCCCATCGTCTATTTTTGCCCGCTTCTCTACACCCCATATTGCTAGCAGGGAGGAGAGATCGGACAAACAGAGCACGCAACGCTCCCTCTGCTGTTTCTGGGGGCTCGCGAAAGCGCGCTCGAATTTGGTTCCGCCAGATACGGCTCGAGAAAAGCTTGTTCCAGTTTTTGCTGTTGGTCCTCCCATCAGCTCCGTCGACAGCAATTGGTTGTCTCCACAGGCGGGTAGGAAGAACCCCCGCGGAAAGTGCTTTTTTCCCTCCTGTTGGTTGTGGAGCGGCGAAGTTCAGCGGCGGGAGCTAGTCAGGGGTGGATGTCGACGCTTGCCAGTCAGAGCGTTTCGCTTCACGCTATGCCCGTGGGCGGGCGTGAGAGGCCGCAAGGTTCTTACGTAAGCGCCGAAACCCTGACCAACGAGGCGAACTTCTCAGGAGAGACCCAGCAGTGGCATGTCATCGGCTCGGCAGGGGTTACGGTGAGACAGGCAGGCACACACGCACGGCGAGAGAGGNGGGGGGGAGGGAGGGAGACGGAGAGAGACGGGGGCATAGAGAGACAAGAGAAAGAGACAGAGAAATGGTTGGTTACGAATATCGCATTGTTGGTGCTGTGCAGTGCCTTCAATCGTTTCTCACGCAAAAAGAACGGATGAGCACTCTGCTGCATTGCATGCGAAAGCGCTGATTCACAGCGATGAACAAAATTAAACATGCGAGCAAAAGCTTTGCAGAAGAACGTACGAAGAATTTGTCACGGGGTTTGTGGGCCGATTACACTAGTCGGTATCAGCGCTGGCCAACATGACCCTCCCGCCACCGTGGGAGTTCGTGCGCCGCAAGCTGCCGTGTTGGGGGCGAGCTCATGGCGAACACCGAACAGTTCAGCACATGTTCGTTGTTCGTTTGGCGTGCGTTTATTCGGCGAATGGACATTCTGTCGCGTTTCTATGAATAGGCGCTGTTGGTGTTCTTGTTGTTGTTGTCTCTCTGTTTGGCGAGCATCCTTTTTGCCATGATGCTCTCGTGTAGTAAACAGAACAGACTTTTGTCTTCCTGTCCGCCGTCTGCTGCGTTGCTTCTTGCCTCGCCTTGGGCGATGTTCATCGCCCTCCTCCTCCTCCTCCTCCTCCTCCTCCTCCTCCTCGGGGGTGTTAGCGTGAAATTTCAAAGCCGTCCCCATCTCTTCTCAGTAGTACTTTCTTGCATCATTGCCGGTCTAACGAAGGCAAACACATTTCGCGCGCAAACTTCCGGAACAACGGGCAAGATAATGCTGAATTTTCAGCAAGACAAAACTTATGTAGTTATTGGACAAATGTCGATTGCGCGCCTCTCTTGATCCTTTGGTAGGGTTGATCCCTGTGTTCCGTGCGAGATCAACGTGACTTGACCCCCTTTACACTCTCCTCTTTTATCTTGTCGTACGGTCGATCCCTTGCTATATTTTGGTCATTGTGACTAACCCTTTTTTCCAAATCCCTGTCGCTTTCTTAACAACACGAAGGCGAGGGAAACAGACGACCCCTCCTCGAGGAGCCTCTGCGCACTGCCCTTCGCGTGCCCCCTGACCGTGACGGCCAAGCAAGGGGGAATGGTCAAGATCAGCTCCCCCGGTGGGTTCTCTGTTTTAGTCTTTGTGTTGGGCTTGCGGAGCAGTAGGCTTCGCATGGTTTTTGCATTTATGTAAAGATGTGGACAAAGCATGCAATCGGGGAACCTGAGTTGGGGTTAGGGTTAGGCAGTAGGGTCTGCGTATCCCCTCCCTGTTCTGTCTCTTCATATAAACTCGATTTCTCGCGAAGGCGGTCCTTGCTGGGTGGGCGGGGGCTCAATAACGCCGGTATGTGCCCGGTGCATCGGCCGGCGCTACTCAGAGTACAGAATGGCATGTAGGTGGTCCAGTCTGTGATCAGTGGCGCTATACAGATATGTCCGCATTCCACGTGACGTCATTCTTCATGTTTCTTGTGCACGTGAGGTCATTCATCATGTTTCGTGTCCACGTGACGTCATGTCCCATGTTGATTGTATAAACATGACGTCATTCATCGTGTTTTTGGGCACACATGACGTCACCCATGCACGCTTCACGTCATGTGTCATGTTTTCGTTCCCACGTGACGTCATGCATCATGTTTTGGCACCCGTGATGTCATTGATGACACTGTATCATACTGCTGTATCATCTCCTTGTTGCAGTGGAGGGCTGGGTGCCGGTGGCAGATGACGTGGGCTACGTGCTGCTCGCCAAAGGAGACGGTTCCGCGGGTGCGAGGTGGCGCTACCGAGTTGTCTGTCGAGATGGAGCGTTCGTGAGGCTCGGGATTGAGCTCACCAGCCCGTTTTTGTTCAACCTCCCGTGGCACTCTGTTGTAGAGGTATGTCTGTATGGGTGTTTCGTGAAACGTGTTGGGATTTTCAGCTGTGCGTGTACGCGTACTAGCATACACATAACGGTGATTTTTATTTTCTGGCTGGTCCGAGGCCGGCTGATACGCGATGCGTTAAACATTTTCCGGAAGGTTCACTTGCAGAAGAAATAAGGTGGCTCCCAACATGGATGAGATGCAACTATTTAGGAAAAAAAACGGATTCAGAGTTATCTGTTTCTTGTGTGCGCTATGTTTTTCTGTCGCTCGTTATGTCTCTCTGTCTGTTTGTCTCGCATGTGCTTCGTCTCACATAGCCCAACGTCTAATCATTCACCGTCCCCTTTTCCACGTAGGTCCTCGAGCGTCGCATCAACGACGCCGGTCTCCCGCGGCTGAAGATTGCGGAGGGGTGGATTAGCGAGGTTCTTAATCCCCTCTCGGGCCAACGAGGCCCTGTGGTTGAGATCGTCAAGCTCCTCCAGCCCCTAAAGTATCGGGTAGTGCTACCCGACGGTGCCGTCGTGAGGAGAACGGTCGAGCTGGCGTCGAGCCAGGTGAAGACGATCGCGGCGGGGGAGTTGGTGCAGGTGTCCGCGAAGAAGTTCAGCGAACTCGGGAATCGCTGCGTGCAGCGGCTCAAGCTAGCGGATGGTAAGCGAGGCTTGTTTGTGTGTTTGTTTTTGCTGTTGACATCGACCGCGCTAACCGCCTGACCAATGGAAAGACTTCAGTCTCAGTGCGGTTGAAAACAGAGAAAGTGCTTCGAAATGCTATGATCTGGGGGGTTTATGTTCGCGCGGGTGTTGCTGCTCCAGTGTGTACGGCCGTGGCAAGCAAGCTGAATGCGTCAGTCTTGATGCGGGAAAGAGAGAGGAGGGGACGTTCCGCGGGTGCTTAGTGGGGCATTGGTCTTGCGTGTGTTTCCTTAATCGGCATCGAACGCGCTAGCCCACTGGCCAATGAAGTGTTTCTCCTGGTCTCTGGCCTCGTGCTGTTTCGCCTGGTCGCCGCTTCCGGTGCTTGCGATGCTTCCCCTGCTCTTGTACATCTAGAGGGAGGAGCGCGCTGGTGTGCCCTCTTCCCCTCACGTGTGTTTGTTTTCGCAGCTGCCGTGTTTCACACTCCCCTCCCTCAACCTAGGCTAGTCCACGTGACACTTATGGTCCTTGCTGTTTAGCTACATTATGAGGATGGCATACTGTCCATACAATCTCCGTGATGCGACATTTCCCTGACAACCTTGTCCACCAATCCAACCTCTCTCACGTTCTTCTTCCATGTCATCTGTCAACGCACATCATGGGTCCCCCTGTACCCACCGTGACCGCCGATGCGGCTCAACAGGTTCCGGTTGGCTTTCGATGCGGCTCAACAAGGAGCCGCCCGACGACATTCCCGTGGTAGAGTACGCCGGTCTTGGGGACGCAAGCCCCTCCCCTAGAGTAGTGCCCCTGCCGGGCGCTCGAGGGCAGGAGGGGACGATGGGATTAGGGTTTTGGAGAAGGAGCCCTACGGTGCCGGGGGGCGGGGACGCGGGGGCCGGCGGGGGAGGGGGTGCCGCGGCAGCATGGGGCGAGACGAACGACGACGATGACCAGAAAGCGGACCTTTTCAAGATCAAGCACTCCGATTCGCTCGAGGAGGATGACAACTGCGTCGTCTGCCTGTCGGGTGAGAGCCGTTGGTGTTGTTGTCGTGTTATTAACCTTTGGTTGGTGGTGGTGGTCTAGTGGCCTAGTGGCCTAGTGGCCTAGTGGTCTAGTGGTCTAGTGGTCTAGTGATGTTGTATTTGGGGTTGTGGTGTTGGTTGACTCCGCTCGAACACCTGTCCTTAGCCTGAGAGACAGACTTTTCCTTGAAAACCTGACCTTCAACCTACACTCGACCCTTACAGCTCGTAGCTCTCCGCTCGATGTGGTGGCGCAGTAGTTTTGCCAGCGCCACGATGTATTCGTAGTCGTGTAGGCGTTGTCTGCCACCCTCTCTCGCAGCTACGTTCTCTCCGCCAGGCGCACCGCAGTGTGCGCACGGGGAGAAGAAACAGGACCGTCGAATCTTCGGAACAAAATACCCCGCGCAATCGTCAAATACCGCCAACGCGTGCGGCTGACGACAACTAAATATGAAACATCGGACGCGAGTTGGTGTCCTCTGCACGATATTCCAACCACGGTTTGTAACAACCGTCAATTCCCGCATGAAAAAAGCGGTGTCCAGGGAACGAAATTTATTTGGATTGTAGAATCGGTTTCATGCCGTTGATTTGTTCATGCCAAGATATCTGGAGGGTGATACTGCCGATCTTTGCTACATTTTCTTCTCGTATAATTGGGAATGTGACTGCGAAGCCATCGCTGAGCATTTACCGTCGGGAAGACGACAAGCAAGCGATACGGGGAATCGGCGTGGGGATGCAGATCACTGCCGTTGTCGTTTGTCCATCGCTTCTGTGGTCATGATGTTATGATGTCATGATACGAGGACACGTCGACGTCAACCGCTACTGCCGCACTGCCTCCCATAGCGCGACATCGCTCGGTACTGCTGTCCTTGGCCACAGATAGTGATACTTTTTTATTTTTTGTGATCGTTTTTCTTATTTTGTTTTGCGCGCTCGCGCTTTTTTTTTTTTTCCGTCAGGCCCGCGAACGGCGACGATCGTTCACGGTGAGATCGGGCACATCGCGTGTTGCCTGGAATGCGCCAGAATACTCAAGGTTCGTCAAGTCGATCGTTCTAGCTGTTGTCGAGGCTGCTGCTGCTGCTGCTGCTACTGCTGCTGCTGCTGCTGCTGTTGCTGTTGCTGTTATTGCTTGTGTATGCCGTGGAATCGTTGCTCTAACGGTTTTTGAGGGTGTTGACAGTACATGGTGTTTGCCCAGGAAGCCGTCAGCCAATATTTGTTCTTGCGCAAATGTGGCCTAGTGTAGCGTTTTGTGGCCGGCGTGTGATCACTACGGACTACTTGTACTCTTTTTGCGGTCGGATTCTTGAGGAAGAGAAATTGCGGACGGATCTCATCTTGGATTCCAACGTTAGATGACCACAGCAGCAGCAGCATCACCTCTAAACGTCTGCTTTGTCACGCCATTTCCTGGCACATGTTGCGAATAATCCGTTCTCCAACCCCGTTCTTTTTTGTGCTGAAATTGATTGTCCCCAACGTCCCACGCGCCCTGTTGGGATTCTCATCGTGTTTCACACACCATGCATATGCCTCTCTGCTCTTATATATATTTTTTTTGGCAGGCACGAGGGGATGCCTGCCCGGTTTGCCGTGCCCCCATCGACAGCGTCGTGCAGCACTTCTGGGCATGAGCCGAAAACACAAAGTGGAGAAGGCGTTCCTCGTTTTCGGCATGTAGTACAAAAGTGGAATCAGAAAAACAAAAACAGCAGGAACTGACATGTTTATGTTCTGCGCTGTCTGGGTAGGGAATTATATGCCGCTGCGGCTGACTGCCCGTGGGGGGGGAGCCGTGGAACCAATGCACACGATTTTATTGAATTGCAAGAGGAGACAGGACACTCCCCCTGGTATAGCCTAGTCTCTTCAGCGAGAAAAAAAACAAGAGAAGGAAGTAGTACGGAAGGAGAAGAGGGGCAAGCGCAAGGCGGGGTCAACGAGTAGGGTCGAGTTGGGGGTGAGAATGGCGTCCTGCGCCAGTGGACCTGGAGCGGGTCGACATCAGGAGCATAACTAAGCCGCTCCTTGTGGGGGGGGGTGCACGAATGGGAACGCATGCCGCAGTCGTTAGAGAGATGGCGCCTCTCTCACGGTCCTCTTTTTTGGGAGCTAATGACTTACTAACGATGCGTGTTGTTTGCATGAACCAGTGTGGTCTTTTGTCTACGTTGGCTCCCTTGATCCCTTCCTCTGTTTTTTTTTATTTTCTGGTATATTTTGTTTTGACGAGTTTTCCTGCGCGACCTTGTGTAGGCTTGAGCTGCGAATGGAGGGGTCCGAGATAACTGTCACGACTGACGATGGCGTTGTTGCTCTCTCTCCCTCTGGTGAGTAAGAAAGAAAGCCGCGGCGCCGAAGCTTTGTAAAAAATAAGCAATAAACATGTAGCCGACATATGTGCTGCCACGCGTCCGTAAACATGGAACGGACGTGTTCGTGTGATTCGCTGCACTTCAGTCGTACATGTTGGCTTCACCAGGTCTTTATGTTGATAGGATATCGATGATGATTGTGGCACGCGGAGAGAGAGAAGGGTTTTGACAGGCATGCCGAGTCCTCGGGGGCTCCCTTACCCCCACCCACCCCTTACTGGGTTGGTTATCGCTTTTTTTGTTTTCGTCGTTGTTCGGTGCATGCGGCTGGACGTTTTCGCCCCACATCAACCAGCGGGGGATGGTGGATCGATGGATCGATGGATCGATCTCGGGAATGTGGTGGGTGAGGCGTGGCAGTTGCCGTAGGACTGGTGCTCCCGATTTTGTCGTTTTGTTTTGTTTCAAATCGCGAACCCTTTCCAAGCGCGGTTTGAGTGGTTTGCCGTCCAAGACCCTATGTTTTGTGTGTTTTTATCGCAAAAACGCTAGCGGTAGTACAAATAGTGTTGACGCCGGACTCCGTTTTTCGTATGCAGTAGTTTTGGCTGGGGACAAGCGGGGCGAATGGGGCACACGAAAGGAAGGAAGCCGAATGGGATTCCGCGTAGTGGATGACGGTGTTGAATGCCTTGTTTAGCCGGGAAAACTTGTAGGCGGCGTGATTTGAGCTGATCGGCTGGACATGGGTTCCGTGCTTTTGCATTTCGGCGGCCAGGGCCTTTCCTTTCGTCTAGGCCAGTTATTAGAGTGCCGCCCCCGCCCGAATGATACAGTTGGCACTGTTCTCAGTCGGTTGTTGTTGGATGGATGGGGGAATCGAAAAATGGTAACAAGCAATTGTCATGTAAATGTTAAGATGGCTTGGCGGTCTCTCGTCCGTGTGGTTAGAAGAGAGATGGAGCTGCTCGTGTTGAACAACGGAATGTGTTGTGNAGCATCCCTACAAAACCGGGACGGAGCACGCCGGGTTCTCACCGGACCAGGCTCTCACATCATCAAGCGCGAAGCGCCGTGAGATGTTCGGCGAGTCGCATGAAGGGTGCGCTGCATCCTGCTAAGGGTTTTCAGCATTTTGTGCTTACTTCCTTGCGTACGGATGACAGCTGCGTATGGTCCGTTCGGGCAAGTATTCACAATATTTTCCCCTGCACAACGGTGCACTTTTCTCGGGGTGGGGGTACTTATTCCGAAATCTGAAAATACCGCGTAAATCGACGTTTCAAGGCGCATCTTCGTACGGTGATTCTTTTTTTTTTTTCGTCCTTCGCTCGATATGTTCAGATATTCAAGAAATCTTGCTTACTTTCTGGAGGGCGGTGTTTTTTGCAGACACAAAATCTGAGACCGGATTTGGACAGCTCTCGTGATTTGCCNAAAAAAAAACTCGGGTTTCGGAGATATTTCGGGTGGTTTCACACGCCCTCGGGGAATTTTTTCCCGCCAGACACACAACAGAGGACACACGCACACACACCCTTTACGCACGCAACGAAAGACGCACACGCGCTCCGGGCACATGGGTCGCCCAAAGGGTAAGCGCAAGCTGCCAAGGAACGCCGACGGCACGATTCGGAAGGCCCCTTCGCCCCCT